ACACATGCAGTAGGATTCATCCTCTGGGGTTCAATATCAAAAAAATCCAAGCATGGTTGAAGATAAAAATGAAAAAAACAGCCATGCTCATTGGTTTGCAACAGCACACTGATAGATGTAAAGGTTAAGCCACAGCGCTATAAACAATATGCTACAAATCTGATTACATCATAGCACTTAAATATCACCTCATCCACAACCCCGAGTTATAATCGTATCCTGAAGTAACCCTGATAATAACAAATGCCTCAAATGTCCTCATGTTGCATCAATTCTTCTTAAGAGCCTGACACTGCACGCAAGGATAAAAGCACACACACACAAATTAGCTGGAAAATAAAGTTGTTGACACATTAAACTAAATGTCTTTGACGTATTCCTTTTGCTATGGGATAAACACACTCGGTTTTAATGACAGAGAACAGGGGGAGGTAATAACAGCAGATCTTCTTGAAAGCCATGTGTCCGAGACACTGTGATGGTTACCATGGCAAACCGATGACAGTGACCACAGTTACCAGTGGGAGGGATCTCCACATTTCTACGGCTTTGTGGGAGACATTGTGCACTGAAGACTTCCACAACATATCAGGGTTGCAGAAGCTGTGAAAACACTCATCAAGTCTTATTATAGACTTGCAGAACTCTGCAGACCTTGAGGAGGTGTAAACAAACTGCGGAGCGATAAAAGAAGCTGCCTCTTCCTTTCGACTATTTCCTTGTTTGTGGACTTTTAAGCCTACTGCCATGACAGGAAAAGCTCCATTATACTGGATGGGTTACATAACATGTTGTGTGTATACTGGCAGACACTTAACAGAGAGTGTCAACACAAACAAAAAAAAGGCAAAAAGCACGCAGCGCGTTGATGCTTCCCTTTCAGCAGATCAAACATTTTTTGACTGAGCGGCCAAGATTGTGACAGACAGATAAAGACAGGAGGAACGAAAAACCCCTCCTGCTTGAGCACTCACAGGCAAAAATAGGAGACGTCTAAGTTTATATTTTACAAGAAAAAGAGTAAATGTAGCTCTGCAGTTTAGGACATGTGCCATACACATTCCTTGGAAGCCTCCTCAGCAGGAAAGGGCCAATCACATGCTTCAGACACACAAGTATAGTGAGAGAGACGTGGTGAAACTTGTCTGACTCAACCTCTAACTGCTAAAAAAGCAACTTCCTCGATCAAGTCTGATTGTAAAACACAAACTCTCTCAGTCATTGGGTTAGCTGCAATAAACACCACATGACCCTTTGTATCAGGTGCTAAGTCCTGCAGCTTTAACACAAATCAATGGTAAACTTTTTCTACCTAAAGCTCCACATGATGCTGTAAAATGTCAAGTTCAAAAGTGCATTAACACCCTGCTGATTCCATGTGACTCAGACTTCATTTGACCTTTTTGCAGCCGTTCTTTCATGCAGGAGGAGGAGGAGGGGGTGTGGGGGGAGTGTGAAAAAAAAACAGACACAAAGCTGTTTCAGTAGAAGAAACAAATGTGAATGCTAACCTCTGTCACAAAGATGAGCGGCGCAGCGCTGTGATTCTTCCTCATGCCTTCCTCGTCCTCACCAGCCTGAGGTCAAAGAGCAGCTTCAGGAGAAACCCCCCCTCCCACACACACACCAGAGAGCTCTGTCTGCCACTTTGAAGCGTGAGGACGACCCAACAGAAGGAGTGTCTGTGTGTGTGTGTGTGTGTGTGTGTGTGTGTGTGTGTGCGCAACCCTCTGTTTTAGAAATGTTTTTGCTTCCTGTATTAGCTCCCTTTGCACCTCTACAAAGCTTTAATCCCGACCTGCGCTACACGCCGCCTCGTCCTGAGGTGCGTTCCCAAGCTCTCCTGTTCCCCGACTGTTCTCAAACAACACTTCTGCCCCGTCAGGGAAAACACACCACCTTAAAAGGCATGAAGGCAGCCTGAGTCGGAAATTCTGTGATCCCTATCTGCATGGGCACACTCGGCTGCCAATCAGGACAGAGAGGATGGAGAGATGAGGAGAGACGGTAAGAGAGGGGGGTGAGGAGGACGAGGGGAAGGGGGGGAGGGGACTCAAGGGACTGAATGAGTGTGGGAATGCTGAGGTAGTGCAGGAGGAATCTCCCTTAGGGGGGGGAACACAACGCACTCTGCAGGATGGAGACTCTTGACAGCAGAGCCAGATAACACAGCAGCCTGCGTGTGTGTGTGCTTTTGTGCGTGTGTGTGTGTGTGACACTGGAGTGTGTACTCCCACTCATGCTCAAAAGGCAGAGTGGGAGTGGGAGCGGGGTCAGTGCTGTTTCTTGTCATCCAGCTGATATAACGGCTAGCTGTGGAATGCACTGTAAACGGGTCATTTTTCCTCAAGTGCTTTATTTCAGTATAAATTCCAGATACTTACACTTTACTCAAGCGGCTAAAAAAAACAGACTTTGTTTGTGTTTTTCTTTTTCCGAGACAGAGGTCACTAACTCCTGACAAGGAGACAGTTAAAAGGAAGCAGGATGAGATTTTTTTCTCCAGAGAACAAACTCATGTAGGAGGACAGAATCGCAAAGGTCACAAGGTCAACACAAAATCAAAGCTCCTCACAGTAGAATAAAGTTGACACATCGGTTGCTCGATTTGCACCAGGAAAGCAGAAATCAGTTGTTTACATGTCATAGTTTCCTCCATGAAGTCGATGATTACTTTCAGTGTGATCATGCCCATTTAAAAAAAACACTTTTTTTTTTATAGCTTCAGTACATGGGACTGACGTTTCCTTCCACTTATCTATCTCTGAGTTTTCCTCTTATGGGCAGAGACACACACACGGGAAGTGGTCTGAATTGGGACACTTTCTGTGTTTTAACAGCAAAACACTCAGTTGAAGAAGCCTAACAAATAAAAGACCCCAAGGCATCCCACCCACTCCGCCCCATTAGGCACAGCTAACATTTAGAGAATTTACAGATGAAATGAGAAGCCTGGAAATCCTCATTAAGGGATCTCCCCCACACACACACAAACGCTCTAAAATATCCAGGCATGAATGATGCAGAGGGGGCGACGGGGAGGAAAGCAGCCGCAGACAAGTGATGCTAAACGGAGGAGAAGGAAGAATTGAGGAGGAGGAAAAGATGATGGAGACGTTTAAAAGATGTGACGGTTGAGAGCACAGACGATCGAGGCGGGAAGGCGGCCAGATGTGGAGTGTGTCTGGAACATAAAGATGACCCTCTTTAGCCTCTTTTCTGGTACCCAGCTGGCCTCACTAGTGGCTCGCCACACTCCAACAGACCGCTGCATCAGCAACTATAAAAGGCTGAGAGGCATTATCCGCTCCATTTTGCATTGCATGAATCAGATAATGGCTCTCGGCTAATTTGAGAGGCAGACAAACAAAAGAGAAAACAAACTATTCGTTGCATACAAATGTAACATTTTTGTGTTGGAGAGCAAATAACATTACACACTCTAGGGCTGTTTCTTTTTTCTTTTTTAAATCTGTCAAAGCTCGTTCCAGCTCATTATTCTTAATTCATTTCAAGGGGTTTGGTTATTATACCTCCTCATTCCTGCAAGCAGAGTCTGCTCTGGTTTCTAAATTTAAAAAAACTGGAAAGTATTGTTCACTGAAATGCTGACTCAACAAGATGTTGAAAGCCTTTTTTTTGATCTTGCTCTGATACGGCTGACTCACAGACTGAGGAATAAGGGATAAGGATCGCCCCCTGTTGGCCATTAGACATCACTACAGAGAGTTTGATCCACTTACTTTCAGCTCACATTCTTCTCCATTTTCATCTTCTTCCTCCAAACCATCCCCCGAGGAAAAAGTGATGAGACAGTGAACCTCCTCATGTGACAGCCCTGGAACAAGGAATACAATCATTGACTCTATCAGCTACAAAACACTAATATAAAATCATCCAAATGTCATTTTTCACTTCAGATGGTTCAGTCCATAAAACTTGGCTTGGCTGCCATTCTTTAAAATACATGGAGACAACATTAATAATTATGGAGATAAAATAAATTCTATTATCAATAAAGGAGGTTTCTGCCTGTTCTTTGTATTTTAATGTAAGTTGTGTTTATGGTTTGAGATTTGTCAAATGAGAATATCTGTCACTGTTGGGACGGACAATAAAATAAATCTATCTATCTGAACATAATGTTTGAATCAGCATCTCTCCTAAACATGTACAAAAACAAACTGCACTTTATAACTCTCACAGAAAGGACTTAGTTCAACTTCATTTGTTATATCTCAATGCACCTGATTTAACTTTAGCATAAACTAACCGGCATATCATCCTAAATGAATTACCTATAATTTAAATAAAAATGTAAGTAATAACAAAGCACACAAACCTCCTTTCCCAAAGTTTTTCAGGAACTCTGCCACAGACTCGTTGTTCAGTCACTTCCACACACACACTCTGAGCAGGCAGCTCTGCGAGGTTTCTGCACACCTCTGTGTGAAATGCTGCGCGCTGCAAACTTTCCCTCGGCTCAGCATAATCTCACTGTGATTCACATGAAGCAGCCAGCGCTGTAAGCTTCTTATCCTCACATCTCTGCTGCTCATGTCGTCTTCAGATCGATGGTGGAAGAAGTGTTTAATGCCGCGGGCATAACTGAACTCAGTATGTCAGTATGTGAGGAATAAGAATACCCCTGTAATATGGTCAGTTGATCAAACTAAAAAAATAAATCTAAATATGTTAACTTTTGAGATATTTCAGCCCCATATCTGGCTAGTTGCCCGGGTAATTAAGGCTATTAGGTAATCATATTCTAAATCAAACTTGTAAACACTATCTATTTTATTTTCTTTGTCTGGACACATGATCCCTGTTATCTGTTATGTTTTAATAAACTTATATATTTGGACTATTTGGCCACAGAGGTAAGAGGATACCCCTGATAATCTGTCTGAAACCACCAACACAATCATTTATTTACCCGTGGGTAACACTTCAAAATAATGATAATAATAAAGCTTTAGATAAGGCACCACCCCAGTATGTCGTCTGTATAGAGTTTTTTTTATTGAGGACATGGCAGGGTAACATAATTTACAAACAGGTGGTCAGAGAGTTCACTGAGCTCCTGCTTTTGGTGGGATCCACTCGTGGATCTTCTTGGTGGTAGTGGAGTAGGGCACATATTGCTGGGAGGTACCGCTGACGTTGAACTGATGGACCTCAGCCAGGAACTTCTTAGGCTCTGGTGGGTGCGTGGTGGGGGGGTCTTCTGTCATGCAGTGCAGCCAGCGGTGCCTGAGTAGGGAAGAAGAAGAAGAAGATGCGGTGTCAGGATAATTCCTCTTTCTTTTAATTTTTCTGTGTTTGATGACAATTAAGTTAAAATGGTAATAACTGGAATGATTTGTAGGCCGTACCATTCAGCTGGCACCATGCTGCCGTCCACCTCCCACATGGTGTTTTTCCGTTCATCTCTGTTGTGTAGATCACCCAGCGGTGACGTCCTGAACACAGATAAGATGTTACTTACACATGTCTTAGCCGACGCCTCTAACAGAGATGTATCGAAAGTATGATATAGGGTTGTTGTCATGATACCAGAATTTTAAGCTTAGAGATGAGTGAAAATCAAACATTTTTGATACTTATTTTGATATCACAGCAACAAAAATAGAATTCCTAGACACCTAATGTTTGATCATTTCTTCTTTTTAAAAACCCCAAATAGCAAACAAACCCCTGCACACTGTTGAAGTGGCACAAATACGAAAGCAGCGTTTAAATGAGGTTTAAATATAACTAAAAATATTTTTAAATTCAAATCATTACAGCTTTTTGATACTATCAATTATTAAAATCAAAGATATTGTTTTGATTTTAAATCACTTGGCAAAATGTATCATAGTATGGACATTTTTTACAACATTAGCATGATTCAAAAATAAAATAGCAACAAATTCTTAACAACAACTTGGAAGAATCTTCTCCATCGATATTATTTTTCACTCAACTCACCGAAGAAGTAGTTCTTCTTGTCCTCAAAGTATTTGTTTCCATATTTATCCACTCCAATCAGGGCTCCCGTCTTCACATCATTCACCCTGGAAAAATGAAATATTCAAAGTCAGACTCACTGAGAAAAGCAATGAAGTGAACTCTTTGTGACAAACTAAATTTAAACTTGTAACAGAGTACTTCTTCATCACGTTAATTCAGCATTAAGATAAGATAAGATAATCCTTTATTTATCCCACGATGGGGAAATTTACAGTGTTACAGCAGCAAAGAGCGAAGATTGCAAACAAAAAGTGAACACAGTACAATTTAAATATAAAAAGAAAAATTAAGAATGTACAAAAAAGATACTAAAAAATAGATTAAAACAAAATAAAACAAAATAAAAAATAAAACAAAACAAAAAAATATAAAAAATAAAACAAAACAATAAAAATAAAATAAAAAATAAAACAAAACAGTAAAAATAAAATAAAATAAAACAAACAAAATAAAAAATAAAACAAAACAATAAAAATAAAATAAAATAAAATAAAACAAAACAAAACAAAAAATAAAAAAATAAAATAAAATAAAACAAAACAAACAAAAAATACAATAAAATAAAAATAAAAAATAAAATTAAAGAAAATATGTTTTCGCTTCTCCCAGCGCTAGTTTAAATATAGAAAACAATTCAAATCTTTTAAAATATGTATATCAAACATTTAGGTCTGTTATACCAACACACCGGCCTTTTTAAAACAGCTTTTATAGACTGTTGATTCAGACTCAGTTAGCTGTCAAAATGCTAACTCGGCTAACACCGGGGTTTCACAGCTGATTTCTTTCCTTTAAAACGCTCAAACCGTCACTGACAACACTTCATTAATTCTTCAAAACTAGTTTATCACACTCACCTGAATAACTGGACGAGAAAACCTTTAACTCCTCCATGACCTCCTATTTGTCCCAAAGCCCTTCGGACTACGTTCATATACTGCGCCATCTTTAGACGGACGAGGATGGAACGTTCCGTAACACAAAACAGTTCCGGGTTACACCAACGCTCTGTCGATCTTTAGTTCCACATGGATGCTAATAACGGTGAATTATCAGTTTGACAACTTACACTATTCTTTACAACACATTGACATAAACGTTTGCTTATGTATTATGACATAATTTAGTATGTATCGCAGACAATTAAATTATGAACAGAAGTTATCTTATGTTTATCTTACCATACTTACCATAAAATACATTTGAAATTGTATCTTTCTTGTAGATTAAATGAAACTAATAATAATAGTTAGTAAAAGTAGGCTTCTACAGTAAACACAATCTCAGAGGAATATTTATGTTAAAAAAACAGCAGTAAGGACCAACATGAAACTACACTGTACTACAACAAAGGGTGTTCATTTAATTTATGGATGAAATGAAACAAGTAAAACATTAGGGAAGTTTAAACACATTTCAAGAATAACATATTTAACAAATATAAAATTGAACAGTCAATGGGAAAATTGAATCAATATCCGTTGTAAGGTCTGTACCGTCTACCAATTAATGTGTGTAATACATTATATCTGTTGCTTTTGTTACTTAGTTTCTGTATTATTTGACTTTATTTTTTAAATCTTAGTCTTGGATTAATTTATTAAGCTAAAAAGATAAAGGGGGTCGGACTGGATAAGTTACTTAACTTCATCCTACACCCTTTTCGAACATGGACTGGTTAAGGAAAAATAATCGAGCCACTACAGAAAGTATGCTTTGATTGTAAATGTACATTTTTATTTTATTTTTAAAACATGTTTGAAAAAAATAAATTAAAATAAAATAAAATAAATTCTCAGTATGTAAGTGGTCCATTTAATAATCACATGTACTATACTACTGATAATGAAGAGTGTATTTATCAATCAATCCTTATTTATAGAGCGAACCCTAACCCGAAAATATCGAAAAAGGAATGTAAAATAACTGAATATTCTGTTTATTGTCAACCATTAAACACACACAGACACACACAGTTGATTATTACTTATTATGTAGTTGTAATCTAAATCAAGATGTGATCTGTTTTTCATAAAAAGGTCTGACTTTCTTTGAGCTGTCTTTCCACTGCCCAAAAGGTTTGATGTGACACAGCTGAGTGTCACAGCTCAGGGAGATTAAGGGGAAATGGAGCAGAAAGCCACAGTATAGTCTGCCTAATTAAAACCAGAGCTTTGATCCCCTGCTCAAAGACTGACCAGGATGATAGATGCACATAGAGATCTATGATGTTGAGTACAGTTCAACTTCTGCCTCTCTTGCACACGTTTGTCTTCACTTTGCAATTAAGTCGCGACAGCAGTTTTTGATCATCATGAACAGGACAGGAAATTAAACCAGGACAGGATTTATTTATATATTTTTTTATTAAAAACTGTTGCCTGACAGTTTAGAATCATTGTTTATAGGAGACTCTTACTCTGAAAGAGTGGATGTTTACAAAATGTTAATGTACAATCACTGGAAAAACTCATGCTTGGTAGGTTTTTTTTTTTTTACTAGCATTTTCATACATCACCAGCCCAAAGACAGGATTAACAGTTTAATTCCTTCACTAGAAAAGTAAGATTTAGGCTTCTCAAACCGAGTCATTAACTCCTAATGGTGTAGTGCAACAAACTGTACAGCAACCTAAACAGGAAACAGAATTAAAAAAATGATTGTTTTAAACGATGCTAACCCACAGTACCCTGACTAGAAAGTGACTGGATGCCTACACTTGAATTTGTTCATTTAGAATTTCAAATAGAGCATCCTATTTGTTATTGCAATAAATCTCAAAAAGAGGAACTGAAATGTCTGCAAAACAAGCACCGAAAGTCAAATGATTTCTTCCTTTGAAACATTTCCATGGACATACAGTTCTTAATTGTAGGATTTTTCTGATAAAGAAAAAAAAAAGAAGCTCCTTTCCTCTTAGGTCTTAAAAGAATAAACGGTTTTGATGGAATATATTTCCCAACAAACCCTGACTCCCAAAATAAGTGGCAACCTGTGCTTTTTCACACAATAAATCTTCCTATTTCATAAATATTAGCTCTTGGCTATATATAAAAAAAAAAAGGTCAAAGATGCTCTGTCATGTCCATATACACAGTTTCACCCAGTTTGCTGAAACAGGCAAAAACACACATGAAACTGGATGTCAAATATCTACATTACTCGTGACATTTCCAGTTTTCTCCAGGATGTTGATATTCATTTTTGAACTTAAAAAACAAAACAAACACACAGGAGTAGTATCTCTAAACCAGAGAGATCAACCTAAAAAGCAGAGCATCAACTTTTAGTGTCTTCGTAAAAGTCGGATTTTCACAGTAAAATCCCACCTTTAATCATCATTAAACTCATCGTTTCCCTCAGTGATTAGAGTGGGCTTTTTAAATCCTGTGTTTATAATTCACCTCCACAAAATAACACCTTAGATTTTAAAGGTGTGGCCGATACAAACATGATGGAATGATTGTGGAGAGTTTTTTCGATTCTTGGTTCTTCTTAAAAAGTAACTTCTTCATCTGTTTGGAGTTCCAAGTGGTTTCCCAGACTTCCCGGGATTTCCCGAGGTCTTTCAAATCTTCCTGGAGGACTGTCCTGTCTCACTTCCACGAACACGTTTTTTGAAAAACTTGATCTTTGACCCACAGCTGCAACAAACTTAACTCTGATCTCCACAGTAGAGAGTAAGTTTCAAACAGAATCCAGTTTTCTTTTTTTCTTTTTTTTTTAAACATCCCGGGTTACTTCCTGAGCCGGTAAAAACTCTGAACTGCGATCAGTCGGGGGTCGTGTGTGTTTGCTATGCACCGGCTCTGCTGCTGTGATTAGACTTCACTGTCGTCTGAGCGACTCACTGTTCAAGAATCATCGCCTCCTGGAACGCTTCGATCCATCTGAGGACAAACAATCCAAAATCAGAAAATTAGAGGCTTAAGCTTTTCTTAGATAAAAGGTTTGGAAACACCGCCTTAAAGAATCAAAGAAAGAAGATGTGTGTTGTGTTAGTACAAAAAATACATATATACACACAGGAATATAACATCTGTATGACACTTTGCTAGTTGTTAAAATAGATTTGATTAGTGGAGATAGAAAAGGTAAATAAATGCTATTTACTTGTGTGTGTGTGTGTGTGTGTGTGTGTGTGTGTGTGCATCAAAGCTTCATGCCCCCCCCATAAATCCACCAGATGGTCCGCCCCAGACATAAAAAGTCTGGACACGCCTTTGCTGATACACCACAATCTTCTGATGTGTTCTTACAAAGTTTTTGAAACACCGTCCCACCACTACAAAACAGTTTTTCACCCCAGAATTTATAAACCAGAAGTAACATTCTGATCACAATAACTGTGTGAGTTTTATTTTATTTCCGGTACCTCTGAGCAGTCGGGATGTCGTCAGCTTTAAAGATGTAGAACAGAGTGTTTTTGTGATACAGTTTAAACTGCAGCTTCTGAGCCGGACCGTTCTTCTCCTCCCTCAGGAAAAAACCCAACAAGGGCTGACTCTCCAACGCTGCAACATCCTGAAAGAAAAATATTTTTTATAAACAGCCAATAAACGTACAAGCTACCAAGAGTAAATCAAAAAAACAACAAAAAAGAGAAGATGTGAGTACCTCACTGGCAGCGTAGGTGTACAGGACTTTATTCTTGATGACAAACCACAGCCTCTTCCATTGCTTCTTGTTGCCTTTTGACCGGTTTAAGTAACCGCTCATGGAGGAGTTCTCTGTGTTGGCCGACACCTACAAAAAAAAAAAAGTATAAAAGTTAAAACATTTTGCATTCATGCTGTATTAAAGATGCAAGATTGAAGATGGAAAAAAAACGACATGAAAGTGCTGATTCATGTTTTCTTGCCTCTTTCAGTGCAGCAGGAATCTTCTTCTGTTTCCTCGTGAAGGAGAAAGCTCCAGATTTGATCGGAGAGACCGATGTTGAAGCACAGCGGTCACCTGAAACAAAAACAGAAAAAACAGTTATTACAGCAAAACAAAACGATTCAACCAAAAGTAAAATATCCCCCTCATGTTTAAAGTCTTTATATGCGATGTTTCACACTTAAATGTAATATAAATCAAGAAAAGCCTCTGAAAATAACTCTGTGAGTCATGACTTTTAAAGACAAGTCTGTAGATATTTGAATTTGTTGTTATTGTGAAACCCATAAAAACACCACAAACACTTTTGCTCTTTAAAAAAACTTAAGAGGAATAGTGGTGGGAATTAACGTTAGTTGAACAAACAAATAAAATGTAAATAATAAATATATTTTTGGTAGGTTCTGGGTAGACACATACTGTCTGTTACTAGCTAGTTAGCTAAACTGCTAACATTGGTACTCTGACTTTTTGGAGCAATTTAAAACAATTTGTTCAAATTACACAAGGGGAAATTTGACTTTAATTTCTGTCTGACTAAAGGGGAAACAATACTGAAACTAAAAGAAAACATGCATCAAAAATAGTGTCTGTAATCCCTGTTCACTTACTGTTCTCTTGCAGCTTGGCAAAGCAGTGATCACACACGCGTGCGGGCTGGTTCTTCAAATACTCCAGGTAGTACTTATTGGCTGAGCAGGCCTGACACACCACCTGCAGAGTCACAAACACACAAACTGTGATGAGCTGATGATTAAAGACACAACATGCAGTACATGTAGGAGGAGCAGCAGCTTCTCATGAACCTTTCCACAGGCGCGACAGTGATGCCTCCTCCAGGTGAGCGTGAACTCGCAGGTACAGATCATGCACATGGTGGCCCTCAGGTCCGGGATCCAGATGGGGGCCTTTGAACCTAACGGGGCCCCGCTGTCGACAACACCCTCCGCCTTAAGAAGCAGAAAGCTAAAGGGTGAACACAGACACATCCAGAGGGTTTGTATTCTTCAAATCTACAACACAGATTTTTTTTTTTTTTACCTCCTCCTGACTTCGGCTTGATATGAAGGTGATTTTCTTCTTCGTGTAGTCGTCTATCGCCTT